TCTACCTCACCAGTTAGGGAAGCTTGTGTCCAAATGGACCTCAGTCAGTCTGCATCCCTGAGTGAGAAGAACCCCCCAGCAACTCACAATGAACATGAAAAATGAGATAAATAAACTTTTACTGTATTAAGTCACTACGATTTGAGGGTTGTTTGTTGTCACAGCATAACCCAGCCCCTCCTGACTAGCACATTTGGCTTTCAGGGATGCTTTCCCTTATTGTCTGGCTTATGCATTTCTAGGAAATGAAAGATAATCACTCTTCTCTGATAGGTTAACCAATTCTTCTAAAATTAGTGGTCTGATAAGAAGCAGGAGATTTACATAGTCTCAAAGTATTTCCTCGCAGTATACTTAACTAGTTACAAAGGAAAAAACATACAAGTTTACAGTCGAGAAAGCACCAACTTAACCAAGTGATCAATACATTATCAGTAATGGGATATGGGAAGGCACAGCAAGATGGTGGAATAGAAGTCTTCACCGATCTCCTTCCCACCCCCCACTGCAAAGACACCAATTTAACAATGGTCTACACAGAAAAGAACACCTTCATAGGAACCAAAAATCAGGCAAGCCCTCATCATACCTGGGTTTAACTTTGTATTGCTGCAAGAGGCAATGAAGAGATAGAGAAGACAGTTCTGAATCATCAGTGCCACCCTTCCTCATCCCGTAGCATTGGTGGCATGGTGCAAAGAGCATCTGTGAGTGCTGGGGGAGGGAAAACACAGCAATTATGAGGCACTAAACTCCGTGCCGTCCTGTTGGAGCAGAAAGGAAAACCGGACCAAACTCAGCTGGCATCCACCCACAGAGCGAGCCTTTCAACCAGCCCTAGCCAGAGGGGAATTGCCCACCCCAGCAGTCTGAACTTGAGTTCCCACAAACCTTGCCACTGAGGGCTAAAGTGCTCTAGGTCTCTAAATAAACTTGAAAGGAAGTCTTGGCGATAGGATTGCAATTCTTGGGTGAGTCCTAGTGCTGAACTAGGCCCAGAGACAGTGGACTTTGGGGGCACATGACCTACTGAGACATTAGCTGGCATAGCAAAGGGAGTGCTGGTATCGCCCCTCCCCTAACTCCAGGATGCACAGCTTACAGCTCCAAAAGGACCCCTTCCTTCCACTTGAGGAGAGGGAAGAACCACGAGGATTTTGTCTTGAATCTTGGATGCCAGGTCAGTCACAGCAGGACAAAGCATCAGAGTCATGAGGCCCCTGTTCCAGGCCGTAGCTCCTGGACAACATTTTTAGACGTGCCCTGGGCCAGAAGGGAGCCCACTGTTTTGAAGGGAAGGATCCAGTCCTGGTAGCATTCATCACCTGCTAACTGAAGAGCCCTTGGGCTCTGAATAACCACCAGTTATACCCAGGTACTACATCAAGGGCCTTGGTGAACCTCTGGGACTTGCTGGCTTCAGGTGAGACTCAGCATATTACCAGCTGTGGTAGCTACAGGGAAAACTCCTTCTGCTTGCGAAAAGCAGAGGAAAATGTGAAGGGGACATTGTCTTGCACCTTAGAGAACAGCACAGCCACAGCTAGGTAGAGCATCAAGTTGGCTCACGAGGTCCCCAATTCTAGGACTTGACTCTTGGTGGGCATTTCTGGACCTGCCTTGGGCCAAGGGGAGAACATCGCCATGAAGGACAAGTCCCAGGCCAGGAACCATCAAAAAAAAAAAAAGCTGACTTAAGAGCCCTTGAGCCTTAAGGGAACATTTGCAGTAGTCTGGCCCAGACAGTGAACCTCTGGGACTTGCTGGCTTCAGGTGAGACAATAAACACTTAACTCTTCAATGCCCACACACAAGCAAACATCCTTAAGTATCAAGACACTCTAGGAAAATGTGACTTCACCAAAAAAACTAAATAAGGCACTGGGGACCAATTCTGGAAAAGCAGAGATATGTGAATGTTCAGATGAAAAATTTGAAATCGCTGTGTTGAAGAAACTCAAAGAAATTCAAGATAGCACAGAGAAGGAATTCAGAATTCAATTTTATAAGAAAAATTTAACAAAGACATTGAAATAAGAAAAATCAAGCAGAAATTCTGGAGCTGGAAAATGCAATTGGCATACTGAAGAATACATTAGAGGCCTTTAATAGCAGCATGAATCAAGCAGAAGAAAGAATTAGCGTGAAGACAGACTATTTGAAAATACACAGTCAGAAGAGACAAAAGAAAAAAATAATAAAAAACAATGAAGCATCCCTAAAGGATCTAGAAAATAGCCTCAAAAGGGAAAATCTAAGAGTTATTGGCCTTAAGAAGGAGGTAGAGAGACAGGGGTAGGAAGTTTATTCAAAGGGATAATAACAGAGAACTTCCCAAACATTAAGAAAGATATAAATATCCAAGTACAAGAAGATTAAAGAACACCAAGCTGATTTAACCCAAAGATGACTACCTTAAGGCATTTAATAATGAAACTCCCACAGGTCAAGGATAAAGAAAGGATCCTAAAAGCAGCAAGAGAAAAGAAACAAATAACATACAATGGAGCTCCAATACATCTGGCAGCAGACTTTGAAAATCTTACAGGCCAAGGGAGAGTGGCATGACATATTTAAAATGCTGAATTAAAAAAAAAAATACTTTTACCCTAGAATAGTATATCCAGTGCAAACATCCTTCAGATATAGAGGATAAATAAAGACTTGTCCAGACAAACAAAAATTGAGGGATTTCATCAATACCAGACCTGTCCTACAAGAAATGCTAAAGAGAGTTCTTCAATTTGAAAGAAAAGGTACAAAACTCACTGGTAATAGTAAGGACACAGAGAAACACAAGACTATGATAACACTGTAACTGTGATGGGTAAACTATTCTTATCATAAGCAGAAAGATTAAATGATGAATCAATCAAAAATAATAACTATGACAACTTTTTAAGACATGAACAGTACAATAAGATATAAATAGAAACAACAAAAAATCAAAAAGGGGGGATGAAGTTAGGGTGTAAACTTTTTATTAGCTTTCTTTTTGCTTGTTTATACAAACAGTGATAAGTTTTTATCAGCTTAAAATAATGGGTTATAAGATAGTATTTGCAAGCCTCACGGTAATCTCAAACCAAAAAACATACCATGAATACACAAAGCAAGGAACAAAAACAAAAAGCAAGGAACTAAATCATATCACCACAGAAAATAACATTTACTAAGGGAAAACAGGAAGCAAAGAAAGAAAGAAGACCACAAAACAGCCAGAAAACAAGTAACAAAATTGCAAAAGTTAAGTTCTTACTTATCAATAATAACATTGAATGCAAACTCCCCAATGGACTAACCTCTCCAATCAAAAGACACAGAGTGGCTAAATGGATTAAAAAAAATAAGACCCATGATCTGTTGCTTACAAGAAAGACACTTCACCTACAAAGACACACATAGACTGAAAATAAAGGGATAGAAAGATATTCCCTGCCAATAAAAAACAAAAAAAGAGGAGGAGTAGCTATACTTGTAACAGACAAAATCGATTTCAAAACAAATCTATAAGAAGAGACAAAGAAAGTCACTATATAAGGATAAAGGAGTCAGTTCAGCAAGAGGATACAATTTTAAATGTATATGTACCCAACACTGGAGCACTCAGATATATAAAGTAAATATTATTAGAGCTGAAGAGAGAGGTAAGTCCCAATATGATAATACCTGAAGACTTCAACACCCCACTTTCAGCACTGGACAGATCTTCCAGATAGAAAATTAACAAATTGGACCTAATTTGCATTATAAAACAAATGGATCCAATAGATATTTACAGAACATTTCATCCAATGGCTGCAGAATACACATTATTTTCCTCAGCACATAGATTATTCTCAAGAATAGACCAACTCTTAGGTCACAAAACAAGTCTGAAAACATTAAAAAAAAAAAAAAAAATACTGGGCCGGGTGTGGTGGCTCTCACCTGTAATCCCAACACTTTGGGAGGCTAAGGCAGGCAGATCACAAGGTCAGGAGTTTGAGACCAGCCTGGCCAACATAGTGAAACCCCATCTCTACTAAAAATTCAAAAATTAGCCAGGCATGGTGGCGCACGCCTGTAGTCTCTGCTACTTGGGAGGCTGAAGCAAGGGAATCACTTGAACCCAGGAGGCAGAGGTTGCAATGAGTCGAGATCACGCCACTGCACTCCAGCCTGGGTGACAGAGCAAGACTCGGTCTAAAAAAAAAAAAACAAAAAAACCTGAAATAATATCAAACATTTTCTCTGATCACAATGAAACAAACCTAGAAATTATAACAAGAGGAATTTTGGAAACTATATAAACACCATGGAAATTAAACAATATACTCTTGAACGACCAGTGGATCAATGAAATAATTAAAAAGAAAATTGAAATATTTATTGAATCAAATGATAATGAAAACACAACATACCAAAATCTATGGGATATACAGCAAAAGCAGTAAGTACTGAGGGAATTTTATAGCTACAAGTGCCTACATCAGAAAAAAAGAAAAACTGGCCTGGTGTGATGGCTCACGCCTGTAATCTCAGCACTTTGGGAGGCCTAGGCGGACAGATCAACTGAGTTCAGGAGTTCCATACTAGCCTGGCCAATATGGCGAAACCCCGTCTGTACTGAAAATACACAATTAGCCCCTTCTCCCCGGCGGCTAGTGCTGAGAGTGCGGAGTATGTGCTCCAGGCTCGGAACATACACTTATTATTTAAAAAACAAAAACAAAAACTAAAAAAAAATTTTAAAACTTCCCCAAAATGTACAAAAAATCTGCCTCTCCCCCGCTGTAGACTTTTATTTTTTTTTCCTCCTCTTTTATAAAATAACGCCTTGAAGCAGCCGAAGCCGACCCGCTCGCCCGCAGCAGCTCCAAGAAGGAACCAAGAGACCGAGGCCTTCCGCTGCCCGGACTGACACCGCCACCCTCGCCCGCAGCCAGCCGCAGCGGATCAACACCGCTCTGGGCGGTTGAGTAGTTTTCGATTCCGGGTGATTTTTGGCCCTCTGCGCTTGCCCCCGCTCACCGCCTCCCGTCTCCGGCCCCCAGCCCCGGCATTGGCTCTCCTCCTCTCACGGAAAGGTCGCCGCCTGTGGCCCTGCGGGCAGCCATGCCGAGATGAACCCCAGTGGCCCCAGCTACCCCACGTCCTCGCTCTACGTGGGGGACCTCCATCCCGACGTGACCCACGCGATGCTCTAAAGTTCAGCCAGGCCTGGCCCATCCTCTCCATCCGGGTCTGCAGGGACATGATCACCCGCTGCTCCTTGGGCTACGCGTATGTGAACTTCCAGCGGCCGGCGGACGCGGAGCATGCTGTGAACACTATGAATTTTGATGTTATAAAGGGCAAGGCAGTAGGCATCGTGTGGTCTCAGCGTGATCCATCACTTCACAGAAGTGGAGTGGGCTGCGTATATTAAAAATCTGGACAAATCCATTGATAATAAGCACTGTATGATACATTTTCTCCTTTTGGTAACATCCTTTCATGTAAGGTGGTCTGTGATGAGAATGATTCCAAGGACTATGGATTTGTACACTTTGAGACACAGGAAGCAGCTGGAAGAGCTATGGAAAAAATGAATAGAATGCTCCTAAATGATCGCAAGGTACTTGTTGCACGATTTACGTCTCGTAAAGAACGAGAAACTGAACTTGGAGCTAGGGCAAAAGAGTTCACCAATGTTTACGTTAAGGATTTTGGAGAAGACATGGATGATGAGCGCCTTAAGGATCTCTTTGGCAAGTTTCGGCCTACCTTAAATGTGAAAGTAATGACTGATGAAAGTGGAAAATCCAAAGGATTTGGATTTGTAAGCTTTGAAAGGCTTGAAGATGCACAGAAAGCTGTGGATGAAATGAATGGAAGGGAGCTCAGTGGAAAAGAAATTTATGTTGGTAGAGCTCAGAAAAAAGTGAAACGGCAGACAGAACTTAAGCGCAAGTTTGAACAGATGAAGCAAGATAGGATCACCAGATTCCACGGTGTTAATCTTTATGTGAAAAATCTTGATGATGGCATTGATGATGAACGTCTCCGGAAAGAGTTTTCTCCATTTGGTACAATCACTAGTGCAAAGGTTATGATGGAGGGTGATCGCAGCAAAAGGTTTGGTTTTGTATGTTTCTCCTCACCAGAAGAAGCTACTAAAGCAGTTACAGAAATGAATGGTAGAATTGTGGCCACAAAGCCATTGTATGTAGCTTTAGCTCAGCGCAAAGAAGAGTGCCAGGCTCACCTCACTAACCAGTATATGCAGAGAATGGCAAGTGTATGAGCTATGCCCAACCCTGTAATCAACCCCTACCAGCCAGCACCTCCTTCAGGTTACTTCATGGCAGCTCTCCCACAGACTCAGAACGGTGCTGCATACCATCCTTCTAGCCAAATTGCTCAACGAAGACCAAGTCCTCGCTGGATTGCCTAGGGGGCCAGACCTCATCCATTCCAAAATATGCCCAGTGCTATCCGCCCAGCTGCTCCTAGACCACCATTTGGTACTATAAGACCAGCTTCTTCACAGGTTCCACGAGTCATGTCAACACAGCGTGTTGCTAACACATCAACACAGACAATGGGTCCATGTCCTGCAGCTGCTGCTGTGCAACTCCACATTATAACTATGCTGCAGGAGTTCGAAATCCTCAGAAACATCGTAATGCACAGCCACAAGTTACAATGCAACAGCCTGCTGTTCATGTACAAGGTCAGGAACCTTTTGACTG